GACAAATGCTGTTAAAGTTGGTGTTTTGGTGGGGTTTTTTTTACCATGTGTTTCCTTGTTGTCCTTTTGTCATTAACTGAGCAAAATATTGTCAGGGTCGTAATCTCTATGCACTTTCAAAATAGCCATTTTCCTTCTTGTGCTCCTTTGGAGCCAGAGATGCTTCAGAGGAATGGGTTTTTCAGCTAAACCTTTGGCTTTAGCTGTTTAGCTCTGGGCTTTGCAGTGTGATATCTTTTAATGAGATCACTGTGTTGGACTGTAGCGTGGATCAGCATGAGACTGCAATTAGTTACCAGTCAAAAATTGGGATTTCATGGCTCCACATGTGCAAGCCCCATGACCCTGGGCAGCAGTGAGTATCTCACGGGTTTTCCAAAACCCCACAGTGCTGTAAGGACTGCAGGCATTCCCCTTCGGGTCATCTCAGTGTGCTGTGGCTATTTTTAGGTTTTGGGGTGGTTTTTGTTTTCCCTGTGAAGTTCAGCAGGCAGTGTGGTTTGGTTAGCAGCAGCACAGGCACTGCATTGTGGTGGCTCTTCTGGAATGGGAGCTCATCGGTGTGACTAACCCTGCCATTCAATGATGAAAAAAGCCTTGCTCTGCTCTAATTATGCTACATGATGTCAAAAAGATATTCTTCAGCTGTTAGCAGATTCATGAGAGCCTGATTCATGATAATTATTGGGAGAAAACAATCGGAGTCTGATTAGTTCAGAACTGACATAGCAGAGGAAGGAAAGAAAGATTTGAACATTTACTTGGGCGATGATTATAATTAGATTTTTGTGTGTGTATGGAAATGATTAACAGGGAAGAGATTCAAGCATATTTTCTACTTGCATAGAAGAGAGACATTCTTTTCAAGTAGTTCCACGTGAATCCTTTCCTTTCCATGAGTGTATTTCAGAATACTGACTCAGAGGCAAAAGCATCAGGTAGTTTCCATTTAAAGGAGACCCCGGAGTTCATGCTAATACCTGACACATTAACCTAATTGCAGCCCCATGGATATGCTGGGTCTCTAAAGGATCTTCCTGGATTCATTGCTCCCTTGACTTTATTCATGCTTTGTATCCTGGCTTTGCTGGTCAATTCTGCTCCCAACCTTCTTTAAGCGCTTGGGGGTGGCGGTGTGGGCAGGAACAAACAACCAATTCTGCAAAAAGCACCTTTGTACTGATTCAGTGTTCAGATACAGGGCAGGTGGGCTCAGGTGTGCTGGGCTGTGGTGGATGTGCCTCTCTTAGGAGGCTTGGAGTGCCAGGGAATTTCAGGAGTCTCCTGGCTGGAAAGCAATATTCCTCTCTCATCTTTAAAGAAGCAGGTGTGAGGCTAAGGAAAAGGTACTGGGGAGAAACCCCATTATATTTCAAAATTCCTCAATCTTATTGATGGAAGACAGTGTTCAGGCCTTTTTCTTTACAGGCAGATTTCAGAATTTTTAGAATTTGGATTATTTTTTTCCCCAAACTTGGCTGATTTTTGCACTACTTTTTAGTGTTTTAGCTATGACTCATAATGTACTGAATATTTCCAGAATTGATACTTAACTGTAATGCTCTTAATTCAAATCTGGTGGATCAAAGGCGGGGGGGAGAAAAAGAGAGAAGAAAAGACTTTCACATATGTTTTTAATTTGTTCCCAGATAATTGGATTCTTAAGATCATACACTGCAGAAAAAAAACCCCCAAAAAAACTACCAAACAGCTGAGTCCACCTTTAGCTAAAGCTGGGACTTAGACCTGAGTTAAACATTAACCTGACTTGGACACAAAGACCTGCTTATGGTGATAATGCCCAAATCACCATGTTCACTTGATTTTTGTCACTAAAGTAAGGAAGCTGCCTTCAGTGATTTTCATACTGTGTGGAATCACTGAAAAGTTTAAAAGCCCATGCTGGTGTGTATAATAAGGCATTATCCCTTGGGTTGTAGTGGGTTGAATATTTCATATCACAAGATTTTTAGATTTTTAATTAGACAACTGTTCAGGTAATTTTCACATGAATATTCAAACACATGACTTCATACCCATTTGCTGAAAATACCTGAGGAACACTCAGAATTGATGTGCAGAGATAGGAAAATGGAACGTTTCTCAGCAGTGTTTTCTTACTGCTTTTATTATTGTTTTTCCAATTATTTGCCTGGTTTTGAACATTTGAAAACACTGTGTGCTTTGAAACGTATTTCATGTATCTAGAAATAGCAGCCATTGTGCAATTATATTTTTTTTTCACTTGTTTGTATGGAAAAGGAAAAGAAACATTAGAAATCTATTTGTGTAGTACTTTACAAAGACTTGCAACAAACAGGTTTCAAAAACATCCTGGAAAATTTCAATGATTAGCTTAATATATGGCATAAAAATCAGTGGTGACCACGAGGAGCTGCTACAATAGCCCTGGGTAATATGCCTGAGAATGCTAAGAATATAGCCCAAGCAGTTAAAAAACAATAATTTGCATGTTATGCATACTGCAAAATAATGTTGTGTGATTGCATTTTTAAGAGAGGCACAGGTTTATTATATCTGTGTTTTCCTGTGAACTGTTTTCCTAATCAACTAGTGGAATGAAATAATATTCCACACCCTTAAATACCCCAGAAACAAATATTTCCTCCATGCTGGTGTGCATTTCATAACAAGCATAAAAGCTCTGCTTGTAGCAGGCTGACTGCAGCACCCGAAGTGGGATTTACAAGAATAATTTACCCTCAGAGGGAATTTGTTTATGTGTTATCATAGGGTGTGAATCAGGCAGCAGGTATTTGGGGTCTTTCAAGTCGTCTCGTTTACCAGGATGATTTAAGGGAGTTTGGGGATTTCTTTGATGCAGTTTTGTTTATTTCCAGGTGTGAATGTAAGGTCTGCTGTTCCTGGGTGCAACAGGAATTGGGGCAGTAGGAAGCAAGTACAGGATAGCAGTTTTGCAATGCCAGCCACGCATTCTTACACAGTTAATTTGACTTAAAAATCAATCCTGACTAGCTCTCAAGGTCTTGCTGTTGCTGTGATTTCAGGCTCTGCCAGGAGGGGACTGCTCCTGTTTTAACTCTAGGGCTGATCCAAGGATTTGTCTTGACTGCATGATGATCTGCATCATGGAAACGATCCAGGATGAAACTGGTGCATCAAAGTATAATCTTAAATTTTCTGAAAGTCTTTCAGTGATTAATTAGGACATTCACTACAGCCCTCCCATTAAAGGAAACATGGTTATTGTGTTTGATAAGTTCCTTGTCAGCTGAATTGCAGAGATGGCTTGGGGGGGTGGACCCTTGCACTTGCAAAGTAAATGGTTTACAACCTGTTTCCTCGTATGTCTTCACTCTTAGATAAGAGAGCTAAAACCATGTAGCAGAAAAGTAGGTTAAATCAACCCTAGTTCCTTGAAGTTGTCGAATCTTTTAAAATATCTTCCTGTTATGGAAAATTTTTTCTTGTAAAAGGAGCTAAGGAACACAATGTCTGGTTTATGCAGCGTGGGTTTTTTGCCCCTTTTCTTTCCTCGGTCAGCTGGGGAAATCACTCATGTGTACTCAGCCTTTATTTCATTGAGATGTTTTTCAGCTCTGAGGTTTGTTGTTTTTTTTTCACTGAGGTGTTCCAGTGTGTTTTTCTGTTCAAGCCCATGACGCTGTTGGCATAGGAAATGCACATCCTGCTGCTCTGAAGGGGAAAGCAAAGGATAAATGCTGGAAAATAGGGGCATATCTTTCAGATATTAAGTGATTTGTTCATGGCTGCTACTAGTTGTGTTTTACAGGTTAAAAAAAAATACAAATAAAGACTTTATAACAAAACCAGCTCTAGTCAGAATCTCTGTAAGAGTATTTCCCTGGGTTTTTGGGGACTGAACACTGCTGTTCCCTCTGGCTCAGTGACTCTCACCCTGGTGTTGAGGCATTTGTATCCCCACAAGGGTTTGTAGGGTCTGTGAGGTTGGGATGGCTCTTGCTCCTGGAAGAACACTGAATCTACATCTGCTTACTGGTGGACTGGATTGGGATGAATGTGTTTCCAATATTCTAGACACTCTTCAGAGTAAGGGTGAATATTAATGTTTAGATATTTAAAAGGTAAAATCCTGATATTTAATTATTTTCACCCTATTTCTTTGGAACATAACAGGTAATTTTACAAAATCTTAATTTGGAATATTGTCCTCTGTAAAGAATACTGTTATTTAATTCATAAGCAGAAATTCCTAAGGAAATAATTTAGCTTCTTTTTGATAACCTAGCATGAAAAGTTTTTATAAGTTTTCTGACGATCTTGGATAAGTTGTGCTGGCTTATGATGGACAGTACTTAAATTAAAGAGAGATTTTGCCTGCTTGGTGTGCTTAATTTTCAGGTAATACATTTTGAAATAAATTCCAACAGCTGGAAATTTGTGTAACAGATTAAAAGTGATTTAATAGGCCTGTTTAACCTGTGAGATGGAATTTGTTAGAATTGGTGGATCTTTAGGACCTTTAAAGGTTTCTTTGGTAATGCAATAAAGGAGTTTCCTCACGATCAAACTGCTGTATGGCTAATATCCACCAGAAGCCTTTTTAGGAAAAGAACCTTTGAAACTTTCTCAATAACAGCTACGAACTAAAAATGTCAAAGGGAAAATGCAACAAAAAACCAAAACAAAACTCGGGTGGAAATTGAAATCTCTTGTGCACGCTGCCTGCTGCTGTAGAATATTCTGCTGAGCTGCTGATGGCCCATTCAGGCTGTAACATGTTCAGGAGCTCGCTGTCGTCTGCCCTGAGCTTTGATGTCAGGTTGCTGAATAGAAAAATCCATCCTACAGTGAGCTGAGCACTTCATCTGCACAAGGCCTTGAAGTTTAATGCTGTTGACTTGTTTCAAAGAGGGGGAAAAAAGAGTGGTGCTCTGAAATCAGCCTTTTGGATATGGGGAGAAACAAAGAATTCTCAGCAATTTTTCAGGTTGTGTTATGCATAACAGTTTATTTTTGTTTGTGTCTCCTAACAGATTTATACGGATTGGGCTAATCACTATCTAGCAAAATCTGGTCACAAGAGATTGATAAAGGACCTACAGCAAGATGTGACTGATGGAGTCCTGCTAGCTGAAATCATCCAAGTTGTAGGTGAGTGACTTTCTGTGTTTGTGCCAGGTCTCCACCAGCTCTCTCAGACAATCCCTGTTTTTATCTTCTACACCAACACAGAGTGCACGGGGGGAAACCCATCAAACTGCATGGAATTAGGTAGATCATTTTCCTTCAGAGGCTTTGCTAATTAATTTGAAAAAGCCTTTTCTTATAGTGGAAAAATATTGGATGTTGCTGATGAGATCTCCTGACACAGCAGTATTACTCCACATGGCTGAATGTTTTAAAAAAAACCCCACAACTCATGAGATTTTTTTTTTGTCTGCTAGGATGTTTTTAGCCCTCACTATTTTTAATACCTCTTGGGTACTGGTCTGAATATAATTAACAGTGATATTGTCTCCTGTGTTGAACCTCTTGCCTCCAGTTGGATTTGAGAGATCCATATATACAGCTGGGAAGGGAGCAATGGTATAATTTTTGTGTGGCAGAAAAAGAAATCTTTCATAACGAGTTTCCAGATGAGGAAAATCACTTACCATTAGGACAGATCTCAAGTGCAGGCTCAGTTATTTTATCTAAAGCCCTTAGTTCTCTTAAATTAGTGCATTAGTGCTTGCAGATAATGAAAGTTCTGAGCAATTTTCTCCGTGTAGAGCTGCATATTGTCCCTCTTCCCTTGAGCCTGGATCCTTCATTAGTTCCTTCAGAGGCTCATCCATCTGGTGCTGGGGATGCCACAAAACACATGCATGGGCCGATGGAGATGGATGGAATGGGAAAGCCTGCTAATGGGAATTAGGACAGCCATTGTTAGGAGCAAACTGACAGATTTGAGATGCAAATGAAGAAGCCAGCAGTGCAGGAGCAGGACATCAGTGCACGCATATTTATTGGGTGTGTTTGAGATGCTGTGAGGGAGCTGCTTCTGGGTTGAAGGGAGGGATTTGCAAGCTGTGAAGCATCTTCCAGAGATTCTACTGGGATATGTTAAAAAACATTTTGTCTCCCTGCTGTAGAGCAGCATTATATCTCAGGAGCATTGTAGACCTGCCGTGCAGTTACAGAGGTGTGAAAACGGGCCACGAATTAATTGATGATTGTGTGTTGACAGGTATTCACTGTGAACAATGCTCCTTCCTATATCCGTTTCCTTTAATAGGAAAGGTTTTTGGAAACCCAGGAGCAGTTAGGTGTTGATTCCTTTCATGCCTATTTAGCTCCCCTGCCTTAATACAGTTGTAGGAAATTTCTGCATGAGAGCTCATGTGTAAGAATGCCACCATCAAAATGTGGACTTGGTTCCTTCTGCCAAATATTTAAATGTAGCTCTTTGAGTATCGACTTGTGAAAACTCCTATGAAATTCATATTATTCCTTCTAAAATACATAACCAATTATTTCTTTGATCATCTTTGCAGTTTGTTGGGGTTTTTTTTGGTCGTTTTTATCGCTGCCTTTTGGCTAATATTTAAGAGAAGGTCTGCAAGGTTTCCAAACTTGAAGTATGAGGGGAAGGATTTCCTTTTCAAAGAACCTTTTTCATGTGAAAGAAAGGTCATATTTAAACATTCTGAGTTTAATCATCCAAATTAATAGTGGAGAAAAGTAATTTCTATCTGCTGTGTATGGCTTTAGGCAGCTGCAACTCATTGTCACAAAGATGAGGAAGGCTTTCACACCTAGAAGCAGCTTTATCTGTAGCCTGCAAAATCCAAGCTTTTTCCCTAACTACATAGTAAGAAAGCTTTGATATGCAGTGTAGGAGAGGGGTTTTTTAATGTTATGGTGTGCTGTGTGTAAGAGCAGCTATTTGCAAGTCGATTAAAATGTATTCACATCATTCTTGTTCATTTCAGTTCAAAATTTATAAGCCTGTAAAAGAATGTGTAAGTACTATATTCCTTAGTGATGCCATATAAACACAGTGGCTGTGTTTAAATCCATGAATGCAGATGCACTGGGTGTGACCTGGGCTCTTGGAGGTGTCCCTGTACACGTGTCCCAAACAAGACACAGCTCATTCACAAGTTTGTTAGTCTCCTTTCAAGTAATTGTGAATTTATAGGAATACAGCTATCAATTTTTAAGTGTTACAAATTTAGTTGATGGAGGTATTACATGGTACTAAAGTGAGGGATGGTGAATATTATGAGATGGGTGCACAGGACTTGGAAAATGGGATTAAACGAATTTGTCTTTATTTCTGTATGACCAAAGCAGAGATGGCATTCCTGGAAGCAGTGTGTGCCCTTCATGTGTAGGGGCTGATGGGCCACTCTGGGGACCACACTGTGGATTTAGCTGAAGTCTCTTTCAGATTGGCATCAATTTTTCTTTGCTTTGCTGTGGGATGAAGGTGTGCTGTGACACAGATATGTAAAATGGGACTTATCAGGCACGAGTGAAGTTCACTGCTTTGTTTCTCATGGCTGTGAGTGCTACTGGAATGTTGTGTCAAACGTGATCCTCCTGAGGGAAATCAGGAAGTGGGATGGAGTTCTGACTGATATCCTGAGAATATGTAGGGCTACTAGAAAATACAGCTTTTAATGATGAATCAAATGGGATGTGAGTGCCTGCCTTTATTAGAGTGGAAAAACTGTGGGAAACTGAACTTTGGTTGTAACTGGTTCTTCAGACTCAAACACAAAGTCATTTCAGCATCCAAGGCTGAAAGGTGAAACTGAGAAAACTCAGGCTTTGAGGCAAACATTATCCACCTCAGGGATTTCATTGTTTCACCTCTGACCTTAAAGGTGGAAACTGCTCTTCTGCAGGTTGGGGTAGCATGTAAGCCATGGTCAAGAATCTTGAAAAGTTGTTTCATGATTTGTGCTTAAAAACAACAACAACAAAAAAATTATTCTAAATTTCCCATTTGTATTTCAAACCTGTGTTCATTCTCCAAGCAAACCCACTGCCATGCCAACATCCCTATATGTGTAGTGCTCACTTTCCCAGCCAGCAGTGATTCAGCTTCCAGAGGTCACATCTTTCTTGGGGTTTAAAGGAATTCCCCATCACTGTACAAGAGGTTGTCAGAGCAGTTGGCTTCTGCCCCAGCTGTCTCTGGAGGCACGACCCAGTAGAGAACTCCAGCTGCTTTTTTTCTTTTTGTGGCTCTCAGTGTTTCACACATTCACTGGGACTGGACAGCTACAATCCAAAACCCCCTCACTGACCTGGCAGCAAATGCTCAGGAAATCATTGGAATAAATGCCCTTGCTTTAGGTTTTTTTTGCCTTATTGCCTCTTTTGTTTTGCTTTTCAGCAAATGAAAAGATTGAAGACATCAATGGCTGCCCAAAAAATAGGTCTCAAATGGTAAGTAGTAAAGTGGTCTGTTGTTTGTGTGTGCATGGCTGAGTGATGGGGTGGGATTTCCATGTCTGAGAATTTTAATAACACTTTTAAATTCATCACAGTAGTGAACTAAAAATATCATCCTCAGAACATTAATATTATAGTTCTTGCCCCATTGTACTCCACAGTAGTTGAATCATATAATTTATCACATATTTACAATTGAGATTATTCTTACAGTGCTACTTTATATTTCTGAAGTATCACATAATTAAACAGAAATATATAGAAATAAAGAATGAGATATTTGAAGGTGTGATTAAGATTTCCTATATCTTTTGAAATGGAACAAAGTAAATAAGCAATATGAATGAAATGAAAACAATTCATAAAATTCAAGATGCAATTTGTTGACGGATAAGTTGGTTTATATCTTGTTTGTATTTAATATTCAAACCTGGAGGACCAAAAATCAGTCTGGGAAAATTAAAAGCATATAATACTCAAGAGTATATTTGCTGTGAGTATTGCTGTAGTTAAAGGTATAGCAGAATTTTATTAAGAACACAAATAATTAAAAAATGGTTTTATAATGCATTGAAATGAAGATCATTTAAAATTTATGATACTTCAAACAAGGTTACTTCCTATTGTATCTTGAGAAAAAGTAATTTTACAACATAAATTTTAATATCTTCCTTTGGCCTTGCAAATGCTTGCTTTGGGACACTTGCAGTCCGTTCTCTGTGTGAAGCTATTTTAATATTTTTTATTTTTATGATTGTTTCTGACTGCCCCTACCTTCATGACTTCAACATGAGCACAGCTACTCATGTAGTAAAATGAAAAAAAGATTTAAGGAGAGCTTGACATCTTAAGTCAAAACTCACACTCTGTTCTGCTCTTCTCCTTTGGCTTTTTTGTTGTTTCTTGGAAGTTATCAATCTTGTTGAAACCGTGGAGCAAGCACCCTGTAAAGAGCAAGCCATCAGAAAGATTTATCATTGCTCCTTGCTGCTTTGAAGAGGGTGCTTGCTGTTCTTGCTGTAGCCACAGCAGCTGTCTGGAGTATAAATAATGAGGAAATTTTGACAATTGCTCTAATTTAATGTTCCACAAGTGTGTTGTAAGAACTGAATTTCACTCAGGACTGGAGTCTGTAACCAATTCCAGGATGTTGCAGCTAAAAAAGTCACTTCAAGTCATTATTCTCAATGAAGAGAGAGCGTTGCTCTCTTGGATTTTGGGATGCACGTAGTAGTTGCTTATGGAAGCAGGATCAGGTTATAACCAGAGGCATGCAGGGGGCATGTGCTGGGTCAGGAATGCTGGGCAGGGCTGGAAGGACACATTTGGTCTGTGCTGCCTCCTCTGATGTTGCTCCACTTGCTCATTCTGGAGGGTGCAGTGGGTGGGACTGTCCCCCCCTCTCATGGGACCTGCAGTCACAGCTGGGCATCCCCAGCAGTTTTCCCCATGTGAGAAAAATGAGAATTGTTCTTATGGCTTGCTTTTATCAGGTGCACATGCTTACAGAGCTCTTTGTTGTCTGACTATAAAAATTCTGTTGTTTCCCAGAGAAGCTGTGGCTGCCCCATCCCTGGAAGTGTTCGAGGCTGGGTTGGAGGGGGCTTGGAGCAGCCTGGGATAGTGGAAGGTGAAACCAGATGATCTTTAAGGATCCTTCCAACCCAAATCATTCCATGATTCTTCTAAGGCAGAGCACAGGAATCTTCACAGGGGTGGTGTTTGTGCATTTACTTGCAGTGTTTAGGGAGACAGCCCTTTGGCAGGTCCAGGACAAACGTGTTACAGTGCTTGTTTTAGGTACAGCAGCCTTCATCCTTTGCATTTCAGTGCTCCTATTAACACAGCTTACAGGGTCCTGCAGAACGTGGGAACTGGTGTCTGGTAACTGGCTCAGAGAGGTGGCAGAGGCAAGGCTATCCAGATACTTAGGTGATGTCCAGATGTCTTTTTCCAAATTAATCTTTCAGTTAAAAGTGTCCATGTCCATATTAGAGTGCTTGAAAGGTGAGCAGCACAGATGAGGAGACCGGGAAGGATTAAAAAAAAAAAAAAAAGCACCAATAACTGGAGATTTAACTTTGCTCATTGTATGGAAATACAGCAGATCTCAGAGGGAAGGAAGCCTTCTACCATCCTCCTTTCCCTTTGTGGAGTCCCAATGCCTTGAGCACACACGTGAGCTGAGCTGTGAAGAATCTGCTCACTCCCAGCCAGGTGTACCAGCTTAGAAAGCTGGACCAAATCTGTGGCTTCCCAAATCCATTGAAGGACGTGGGGAAAAGAAATGTCTTCACTTCCACGTGGCCCAGTCCCAGACTGGTGATGCCAAACCTGAGGGAGTTCTCTGCAGAGCCAGATCCAGCCTCTCTGCCTTGTTCCCAGCCTTGGAGAGCATCAGGCAAATTGGCCCAAACTGAGCATTGGAGACAGCTTGGGTCTGTCAGGCTCCAAGCCAGTGCTAATAAGCCTTGTCAAGTGAAGTTTAGTACTGCAGAACCATGTGGGACCATCAGTGCTTATCAACCTTGTCCCAGTGCCAAAAATGACATGACAAGGACCCCACTGGCTCTGTGAAAAATCACTTAGGTGAGAACCTGTCCTCCCATCATCCTCCTGTCTGGGCTCTTCTGCTGAGGGGAGTATCCCTGTCTTCCTTTGCTCCAGATAAGAGTTGGCTGGCTTTTATATAATCTATTATAGACTATTCTATAGCTTAAAATCTGTTTCAGGGTTTTTTCCCCCAAAACCTCTATATTTTCGTACTGTAGATATTTGTCTAAACAAAAGCCTGTAATTCTGATGATTAGTTCCAGCTGGATGCAGAAAATACTGTGGGTAGGAGAGGATGTACTTGTATGGAGCACAGGCTCTGGGAGCAAGAACATTTGGAGAGCATCGCAGCACTTGGGTTTAAAAAAAACCCAAAAAACAAACAGAAATGTTGGCATAGTTCTTGATAACTGGGTGAAGGACAATAAATCAAGGCCACTTTCCTCTCCTACAGACTTCTGAAAAGAAGGCTTAGGTGAATAAACCTAAGTAGGGCTATCTCTGCTAATATTGTTTGTTTATAGAAAAACAGAGATACTTTCCTTTTTTTTTTTCTTTACTTCTTGTTTGGGGCATGATTTTAGAGTTTAACATGTGGCATCTGCAGATTATAGGAGGGGTTATACCTTTCCATTCTAGGTACTATAGATTATTCTTATTGATGTGGATGCCTTTGCAAGTGCTGAATGTTACCCCTTGTGAAAGGGTTCATACCACTTACATTATCATTTGTGAATTGATAAACAAAACCCAAAGTGTATGAGTTGTCTATGCTAGGTTATATATGTATGAATATAGCAAAGCTAGAACGTGCTGAAAGGAAGAGGATTGGGGAACCTGTGGGTGGATACTCCAGACTTTCATCTTCCCATGTCTGGGGAAGTTGTGGGACAAGAATTTGGAGTAACAAAAAGGCACGTAGGCTTTACAAACAACACAGCACCTCCTGTGAATAGGCGAGGAAATTACTGTGGTTTGCCTGTGGGTTGGTGCTCAGCCTTTAATATTTTTCAGGATCACTTTGTGTCTGTAAGTATCTGTTCTCAAATAGCAAAAGGGAGGTTGGTTTTTGGTTTTTTTTTTTTCCATGTGTTGACAGGAAGTTTTTAAGAATCCTCTCTTTCTGTTGCAGATACCAAGCTGTAGTGGTAAACTAATAGCACTCAGTCTTCCTACTGCTGTTTGCCTTGCAAACAAAGGATCTTGTACTGACTGCAGTGTGGGCCAGAGCCAGCATTTCTTCCAAGGAATTGTATGGAAGTTGGGATGAGGGCTGTGTTTTCAGTACAATAATTTTCAAGGAAACCTTACTTGCAGTGATGGGAATTTGACTATTTTAATATTTGACTGATTTCTTGTGTTCTGATAATGAGCTATTTTGTAATGTGTGTGACACCTAAGGAACAGTTTGTATGGAAACTTTCCAACATGGTGAGGACTTTGGTTTTGCCTTGACCAGTACTGAGAATATTAATTCAGCTGTTGGAGAAAGGTATCCACTCACCTCCTCAGTGTGATCCTTGCCAGCTCCATGAATTATTTTATTTATTGTCGAAAGAGCATAGATGTTGAAATCTCCATGACTAATTTGTGTGTATGGCACGTGTTATCCGTATTTCTGGGTTCTTTTTCTCAAGAGCACTTTAATGAAGTGATGTAGCAGATGTGAGTGCTGCCATACTAATAGGAGATAGCTGGGCTCACACATCAGTGACTTGGTTGGAAGGAATAATACAAGCTGAAACCGTCTGCATGACCCGAGCAACTCTGTGTGTGTGAGAGAGGGAGCTGCTGTGTTATGTACAAATAACTGAAAATAGCTGCTGTATAAAAAAAAAAAAAATTCTTAGTTGCTTGTTTTCTCACAGAAAATAATTCTCTCTCTGCTCTTTGGGAGCAGGTGCCCACTTTAACCTGCTCCTCTAAACATTTTGAGAAGTTTTATACAGTGTTGTCCAAACGTTGCCATAGGAAGGTGCAATAAATCTGCCAGGATCTTGCTCCAGCCCCTCTGAGTCCCAAAGCCAAGGAGGGCTCTGCTGCTGGGGCTTGTGCTGCTAATTCAGGGGAGCAGCCCTGCTGGAAGATCAAAAGCATCACAAGCACGTTTTTTCTCTGTGAATTCCTAGCGTAGGATTTTGGAAATGTATCCCAGGGGTTAAATATAGCCGTGTATTTTCAAGTAATCCAACTCCAAGGCTGTGCAAATGCACTAAAGGGAACTTTCCCATCATCTAAGCCTTGCCCCACTTTGCCTGGGGAGCTTGTAAATGTTGGGAAATTTCATCCTGTTTGATGTTACCGTGGTAACAGATGGGTGTCTTCTGGCCCTAACCTGTGGTGCAGTTCCTCACGGCTGAAGGTCAGCTAAGGGGGAAGACATCCACCCCCAGTGCTGTGCCAGCCTGGCCAGTGACAGACACCAGCTCAGCTTCTGTGGC